GTGTCTCTTTCTTCACTCAGCCAAGTTTTCCCCAGATAAAAGCTCTTTAAAGTGAAATTGCTGGATCAAGAGTTATGCATTTTTAAAGGACTGAAATATCTGTAGAATTACTCTTCAGGATAGTCGCGTGATTTACACTCCACCAGTTTTTAAAGGACTGATATATCTGTAGAGTTGCCCTTCAGGACAGTCGTACGGTTTATACTCCACTGGTTTCCTCTCCCTGACTCCTTTGTCAGTCTGGTCTCTTGCCAATTTCTTACCCTGAGTGGTGCTAAGCAGACAACTTGTGGTTATTCCAAGATAGCATCTGAGTGGAGCCACTTCAGGACTAGAGTGATGTGTCCTGGATCTTTGGTTTGTCTCTTGCCTTGCACCAAGCTTGTGGTGACATACCATGACCTTGTTTTGGAGTGATTGAACTTGACCTATTGAGACACAATCCGGGATCCCTAGAAATAAGCGCAGTAGACACGGTCCGGGATCCCTAGAAACAAGCGCAGTAGACACGGTCCGGGATCCCTAGAAACAAGCGCGGTAGACACGATCCGGGATCCCTAGAAACAAGCGCGGTAGACTGTTACTGTGTGGCAGGTGTTTCAGTGACCTCCCGCATCAAGAGGTGTGTGTGACTTGACAATAAGAAAATAAGTGTTCTAAAAAGAATTTACTGGCTGGGTGCAGTGGCTCACACTGGTAATCCCAACACTTTGGGAGGCCGAGGTGGGTGGATCATTTAAGGTCAAGAGTTCGAGACCAGCCTGGCCAACATGGTGAAACCCTGTCTCTACTAAAAGTACAAAAATAAGCTGGATGTGGTGGCACGTGCTATAATCCCAGCTGCTTGGGAGGCTGAGGCAGGAGAATCGCTTGAACCCGGGAGGCGGAGGTTGCAGTGAGCCGAGATTGTGCCACTGCACTCCAGCCTGGGCGACGAGCGACACTCCATCTCCAAAAATAAATAAATAAATAAATAAGGATTTACCACGAGAGAAAAGTACGTGGCCATATTTACCACAGTCATCAGTCATCATACTCCGTGTATGACTCTATTAGTAAAAATGTGCTTAACTACTCACCATTGATGTTTTAGGCTTTAGTGTATGAACATCCTGGACAAGAATTAGAGATTGAGCTCTTTGATGAAGACCCAGACAAGGATGACTTTTTAGGAAGGTAATTAAAACCCTTCGTGGTTATTGGAGGAGGGCATGGGGTCGGTTTTTTTTTTTTTAAATAATCAAAAATATGTTTTAAAATACATTTATATGCTTGTTATATATTCATTAAATGGTTCTTAGATACTACAATTGTTTCACCTTGGATTTCTTAAAACATTTTGATTCCTAAAAGTTTCACATTTAAGAGAAGTGAATCTGCTAGATCTGTGCTGTCCATTACAGCAGCCACTAGCCTTAAGTTAATTAAAGTTAAATAAATTAAGAACTCTTTCTGAGGGGCACTTTCTTTCTTTACAAGGCTTAAGAGCTACATGCAGAACCTCCCCCGTGCTGAGTTCTAGTGGAGAGTTCTATTTCAGATTGCAGAAATGGGTTTTTTAAGTTTTTTGAGTTGCTGGATTAATTTTTTCAGGATATAGTAATTCACATTGGGAAAATAAATATTGATTTGTTCACTTCAATTGAACAACTAGTATAGCTTTAAAAATAAACTTTTAAAATGGTTGTTTGACCACCATTTGTTAATAATATCAATTATTTCTAATTTAACCTAATTAAGTTACTATTTGACTGAATTAATTGTGGCAAAAAAGATGTAGGATAGAATACATTGGAGAGGTTCATACCTCATGAAGAATGGCCTTGCATGTTATGGCCTGACTTCAGAGTTCATAAGACTTCCTAGGACAACTAGGAACAGTTGAGAGATTTTAAGCCGGACAGGGATAGATCAGGTGCCATCTAGTTGTATCTGGCATCTGCGGGTGGTGCCAATCTTGGAAGTACAGGAGGTTTAGGGGAACTGGAATGGGCCTCCTCTCGGACGCACCGAGTGAGGGCGTCCATCGGGCTCGATGGAAGGGCGTCCATTGGGCTCGGTGCAACGTGGGTCTAGAGCCTGAAGCAAGGGTAGGGGAAGGTGAGGTTAGCGTTCACTGTGCAAGTGAGGAATCCACAGTAACACACAACCCTACCGAGAGGATGTATAAAATAAGAGGGTTGAGATGCTTTAACATTTTTTGATGCATATAACATTGTAGGGAAGATGAGTTGTTTGTGTTTTTGTTTTACAACTCTAACCTCAGCTGGGTCAAACTCAGTATTCTGAGCTCACAGAAACTCCACCTCACTCTTACTCTCCTGACACTGGGGGTGAGCTGGAGGAAGCTTGTGGAAGAATAGTCTGTTCCTTGATAAATTATTAGCGTTTTGTTGCATTTCTGGAGTGCTTGTTCATAGACAAATGCTTAAGGTTGTTTCCGTAAGAAATGTGTTTCTATGTTCTAAAGTTGTCGTATTGTTATTTTTATAGTCTTATGATTGATCTCATTGAAGTTGAAAAGGAGCGCCTTTTAGATGAAGTAAGTTTCCCTGGAGTGTTGGTTTATTGACAGTTGTTGACTGAGTCCCTGCCCTGTGCCAGAGCAGCCACGAACCACCCCTTCTCATCACACAGTGCGGGAATCCTAATTAGTATGACATGAACGGCATTTACGTCACAAATACTAAGAATTTAGGCCTTTTAGAAATACCAAATGAAAGAAAGAAATTTAAGAGTCCATTCAGGTGCGTGTTGAGTACCTACCATATGCTGGGAATCCTTACGGATATGAAGCATAAACTGACGTTAACGTTATTGCAGACAAACAAGCGATTCCCTGCAGGAGTAAGGGCAGGGATGTGTGAGATGCCCCCTAGTGATGGAGATTTTCAGGTGGTTGGAGAAGGCACAGTGCGGCCAGTGAGGCGTCTCTCGTGAGAGATGCCTGTAGAGACAGTGGGAATTCATGGCAAGCAGACTCGATTTCCACCGTTTTATTGCTATCAGAATAAAAAGAATCAAAAAGGAAACATTTGTGGTGGCTTCTAAAAGGTGGGTAAGATTTAGATAAATGAAGAAAAATTAAACAAAAACGTTAAATTCTGCTGCTTTCATAATCACACGTTTCCTTCCCTTGAGTGTTCAGCATTCATTGGCCGTGACATCTTGTTTTCCTGAGTGTGCCAGGCACTGGATGGATAGTCCTGCTCATGGCGTCTATCACTTAGCGTTTGAGGAGCATCTTTGATTAATTATTTTGTGACTTTTAAGCTGATACAAGTGTATACTATTTTATTAGTATAGAGTGATGAATTAGAACAAGCGGATTAAATCGTTTGATACTGAAATTCAGTATTTGGAATCAATGTTGTATTATCTCTTGTCCTATACATTCCATTAAATGCCATTGGTGGAGCATGCTTGCCTGCAGACACAGGCGTAGGCCTGTGGTCCCAGCTGCGGGGGAGGCTGAGGCGGGAGGATCACTTGAGCCTAGCCTGGGCAACATAGCAAGACCCCATCTCAAAAAAAAGAAGTCTATTCATATAAGACTTTACTGTCTCTAGATAGTGCTGGAAAACATTTGAATTCTTATGTGTAAACTAGGAATGATACTAGTACTTGCTTAGGGTTTCCATTGGGGTCAAGGGGTTGGTGCGTGTAAAGCACTTAGAATGGTCTGCTCACCCCTGCTGCTGTCATCGCCTCCAAACGTGCAGTCACTGGCACCCACAGCGTAGAGCTGGATATGGTGAGGTTCAGTCTTCACGTTACTGAGAACTGTGGATGCCTCACGGTTAGTGAGCAGCATGGAACATTTGTAGAGACTGGGTTTAATTTGGATTTTTGATTCAGAATTTTTGCTGAACATAAACATTTTTTCTCTTCAGTGGTTCACTCTGGACGAGGTTCCCAAGGGGAAGCTACACTTGAGACTGGAGTGGCTCACGTTAATGCCAAATGCATCAAACCTCGATAAGGTGCTGTGGAGTGTGTTCTCTTGAAAACTACCTAACCAACTACTCCTCATAACTGAGATCGGTCTCTTTCAGTTGTGTTGCTACTTGATTTTTTTAGCAGTTATAGCAGTAATTTTCCTTATTGTGTATTAAGTCAGTACAATAGCATCAGGGATAAATTAAAGATAATGGAATTTTAGAAATGAAATGTATAGGTCATTCATGCCTGTTTTATCAGATCTTCGGTTTTGTGCTTGTTAAAGTGCAGGGATTTGTAGAGCCAGAAATCACCTGAGTGCTTCATTTATTTGACTTATATATGGAATAATAGTCTTGTTATTTAAAAGGTATTTATTGTTTTAGTTCTGTCTCTATTGCATGGATTGGATGGTTTCTCACCTTTCTTATTTTAGCGTAATCAACATGATACAATCAATCAGACAGAAACGGTCTCTAATCCTGTGGAAACATGGCTGCTAAGGCTTTTTTCCTATCCTTTTAGGTGCTAACAGACATCAGAGCTGACAAAGACCAAGCCAACGATGGTCTTTCTTCTGCATTGCTGATCTTGTACTTGGATTCAGCAAGGAACCTTCCGGTAGGTAACACAGTGGTAACACCTTTGGGTGCTTATTTCCCGGCAACTGCTCTTGCTCGTAACTACTGCTTTGGCAGCACTCTGTGTCACCTGTTCTCGTCGTGTGTTTTCACTTCACATCCAAGTGCAGGAGAGTGGCAGTGGAGAGGGAGAAGTTAGTGTTTGCTCTGGGAGTACATGCATTTCTGTTTATACATTTAGCTGGATTTATCCAGTATATAGGAAAAGAAGATGAATAGTGGTTAGGAGGAGAAGATAACTCCTTAGAAAATCACTAAGTATTAAAACTTAGTTGCCTTAGGATGGAAATTGTCTCTATTTGGAATGGGAATAAAATGAAGCAGCTCTGATTACAAAATCCAGACTCATCCTGGCTGTCGCAGGGCCGTGCGTGAGCTGCTGGGCCTTGGCGATCCCTGGGGTAAACATTAGGTGGCAGAACGGTGCTGCTGTACGAGCGAGCCTGCCTCTGGGTGCCTGGGATGTTTCTTGCAGAACAAAAGGAAGCCATGTCTCAGAATGACCTACTGCCAGATACAAGACACTCTGTGCCTGGAAACATATACTTTTGTTTGTATCAGAATTGTTCATTCGTGGAGAAAAACTGTAAAATATCATTTTATAGGTAATAACTCTAACCACGGAGAAGGAAGATCTTACTAATTCAATCTTGTGAGGCATAGTGTGCTCTCCCGTCATCCTACCTTCAACCCTGCTAGTGAGGATAGTGGTGTGGTCCTTGGTCATGTCATCCTGTTTGATGATTTTGGAGTGCCCGTACACTTGTTGACTAGGCACTCAGTCTTTATTTCATCATGTCCACAGCCACTTTTGTTGGAAGAAAGACTGTTGCCACCCGGTGCAGAAGTTTTTTTCCTCCCCAAGTTGTCTATTGCATAATGCCTCTCTACAGTAAATACTCATCCCCCAAGTGCATTTGTACATAAATTGTCTTCCTGTGTCTTGTCTCCCTTTGTCAGTGTTTACAGGGAGATAGACAAGAAGGCAAAGAAGCGTTTAACTCCCTTCTCAACACACACCCTGGACCTAAGTTCAGTCCCCTGTAGTCTTGCCTTGCCGTGGTCAGACTACACTCCATAGTTCACGAGATGCACACCCTTGGCTTCCTCCAGCACCTTCCACGTTCTGAGAACTGTGCATTTTCTTGAGCTTTGCACAGAAATGAAGTAAATATTTGTGCACCAGTGCATTTTATTTAAAATGATGTACAATTAAGATATGATTGATCACTTATATTTCATACTGGGAGGATGTGATGTGATTGTACTCTTTGTTGTATATAATTGTATGTAATTGCACTGTTTATTAGAATGAAGCTTTCTTGACCGATTTTAACTTCTTAAAAGAATTCTTATATTTCTCTTAAAGTATTTACCTTGGTATTTGATCAGTCTTCCAGTCTAAAGTCTGTGACTTTATCTGTTACAATTTCAGTTTGGAAAAAGTTATTTCATTACATATTTAATCTTTCCACAGAATTTCTATACAGTAAAATTGTTTGCTTTAGCCATGGTAATGTTTGTTGTAAAGGCTTCCGTAATGCCTGGTGGAAGTGTTTCTATGTTAGGGTAGAGAGAATAGTATCAGTGAATTGGCTACAAAGGATTAGGCCTCTTTAGAACTGTGCGTTTTGTCACATTAAATTGAAATTTGAATAATGTCACATAAGCAAAAAACAAAACAAAACAAAAACAACCCAAAGAGAATGTATTGATCTTCTGTTAAAAGGGCACTTTGTGCATGGAATGTGCTGTGGCCGTCAGAGGCAAAGGATCTTTGCAGAGCCGCGGCGTGCCCAGCGCTGGATTAAGGGGCGTCCCGCGAGCTGTGGGGTTCTTTGGCTCTGCCTCTGCACTGTCTGTGGTGCTCCTGGTGCTCTCATTGACCACAATCCACCATTCTCTGCTTTCTCCCCTGGCTCCACTGCCCTAAGAGCATCTACGAGGGAAACTTTGGGTGTGGCTACTTAAAAGAGAGGCGAGCGTCGGGACTAGTGTTTTGTGAAAATACCGCCTCAGTCTATAGAGCACTATTTGTGAGTCCTCCGGGGTTCTTTCTTCCTTTGTCTGTTTGGAAACTGCCAGAATGTGGACTGGAACTTCTAACGCAGTTGGCTGGCGGTGGACTGATGTCGCATGCTTTTGTTTTCTTGCATGATTTTAATTATTGTGTATTTATTTATTTTGTGCTTGTTTTGTGAACTGTAACGCTGTTGTAACATTGGCAAGAACATCTGACCATGAGATGAACAACCCTGGCAAGTAGAGCAGCGGGTCCTCCATTCCTCAGCCGCTGGTGGCTCGGTAAAAAAAAACCTCCCCTGAGGAAGAAATGAAGCCATAATGATTAAAATTCATTTTCTTGTGGTTCATCTCAATGCGAGATGTAAATTTTTTGGTAAACTTTCACAAAACTGTTTTAAAATCTATCCCCTCCTTTTTTGTTGTTTTTTTTTTTTGTTCTTTTTTGAGATGAAGTTTTGCTCTTCTTGCCCAGGCTGGAGTGCAATGGCGCGGTCTTGGCTCACTGTAACCTCCACCTCTCAGGTTCAAGTGATTCTCCTGCCTCAGACTCCCAAGTAGCTGGGATTACAGGCACGAACCACCACGCCTGGCTAATTTTTGTATTTTTAGTAGAGATGGGGTTTCACCATATTGGCCAGGCTGGTCTCAAACTCCTGGCTCAAGCCATCCAC